GGTCTCCGGCTTGGTAGCCTTTCTCTGGGCTTGTGGCAGGTGCAGAAGGGGGCCAAACCGGTGCGCCAGGTGTGCCAGGCCAAGCGTTAGGGACCGCGCTAAGGTTGGTTTCTCTTCCCGTGCGGGCTCGCGCTCTCGTCCTTGTGCTGTATGCCGGCTGGCCCCTCTTTGCGCCGGTCTGGCTCTCGGAGGAGCAGATCAGAATCGTCTCTTGCCGATCCTGGACCCGATGAAGCTTCTGACTAGCTTTCAAGGGCAGCCCCGGGTGGAGTACACTGCGGTAGTCGAGCTTCAGGTGACTAGGTCATGAGTGACATCTGGAGGGCTCCCCCAGCAAGGAAAGGCAGCAACTGGCCTGCCTGATGTAGCTGGGCAAGGCCCCTCGGCCACAGCTACCACCTGCTCGCTGAGCAGGAGCTCTGAGTTCAGGGAGACCTCCTGGTCGTGCGCCACAGCCTGGGCAACACTGCAAAGCATCATCGCTAGCCAGGCAGGCAATGCGTTGACGTTTAAGTTACTGATCGTGTATTCTTCATCTAACTGAATCCTTCCACTCATAATTTTAGTTGGGTTTGAGTTACATGATTAATTGGTATCTCTCTTTTGTTATTGTAAATTGATTGTGTTCTTATGAGCTTTTTTATTGTTATTTTTTTAGTAAAGATTTATATTCACTTATTGTTTTTGGTATCATGATGATTTAACTGCTTTGAACTGGTTGTCTGTTGCATGTCATAATGTTATAATGTAATAGTATAATACTATTATATTATTTATATCCTATAATAATAATAATAATAATAATAATTAAATGCTTCATCATATAGAGGCATAGTGATATGCTTATCTTTTTCTGCATATTTTCCAATTGGAGGTTCTTCCAAGATGCTTTCTGTGATTTGACCACCCTACATTTCTATCTACTCCATTCTTGATGATTATTTTCTGTGTAACTACTTTACAATAAAGTTTGATTCTAGTTCTCCCTTGTGAGGTTGGTCTGTCTGCTCAAAAGAAAGAACAGGAACAAGGGCTGATGTACCTAGTCATATGCCTCAACACTACAGGGCCAGAAGTATTGAGAGTTTATTTCCTTTTTATCATTTGTTTTCCTTGCCATTGAGGCCCACAGCCTGTCTCTTTTCACTCACTGGTGTTAGGGGAGGACAGTCAGGAAATGCATCACCTGGAAGATAGGTGGCGGCAGCAGTAACGGCCAAGCTGCACACCAAGGCAGGAGGCGAAGACCTCCAACTTTTTGCCCTAGGGGCTTAGTCCTCAACTGGGTAGGCAGCACTCCATTTACAACAGGCAGATTACGGAATAAGCACTTGAAACATATTTTGAAATAATTCCTCCATCATGATGATACTGCATTTATTGCCACACAGATGCTGCTCTCCCAGGGATTACTATCTCAGTAGTTCCAATGATCTTGAGCATGGTGAGAGCATGGATTCCTGCTGGAGTCACCCTTGCCAGGGTGGTCAAAAGGGGAGGGGAAGCTAAGAATAATCTGTGGTGGGGCTTGAGGGCAGGTGGAGTTCTGCAGCTGCCAGGGAAGCCAACCCACTGAGAAGAAACTGCAAAATCAAGCACAGAAGGCAACCGTGGGAAGCCCCTACAGTCCTGCTGCCAAGGAAACTCTATGGGTTGTAATACAGAGGGAGCTTCAGGCTAAAGATGAGGAGGAATTTCCTGACCGTATGAAGGGTCAGCCAGTGGAACAGGCTGCTGTGTGAGGTGGTGAGCTCTCCCTTGCCGGAAGTCTTCAGAGCTGCGTGGTCATTGTGGGTTCAGTCTGAAGAAGGAGCACAACACTAAGGAGAAGAGGGACCCTGGACAATGGGAAAGCAAAGATTTTTTATAGAAGTTGAGGGCTGCAAGGCAGGAAATCCTAGATTGGCTGGCTAGTTTGGGGAAGCTGGGCAGATCCTGGCCAATGTATAGGTTGTTGTTTAGTCGTTAAGTCGTGTCCGACTCTTCATGACCCCATGAACCATATTGCGCCAGGCCTTCCTGTCCGTACCTATACAATATTGTTCTTTACAGCATCGGACCTTCTTTTCGCTTCCAGATACATCCACAGCTGA